TTTCTTTACATAATGGCAGAGAGCTTCTTCACTTATGGAATAACTTTTTCTTCATAGTTGTTTGACCTCAGCCCAGTTACACTGCTTTGAGCATTTTCGATCTTTAAGCCTATCAACATAGTATTTTTCTTAATCAACAACTGAGTTACCTTCTGAGGAAATGTGTTTCCACTGCCTGCTTTTTAAAAATTGTGAGGTTGGCACAGGACTGGGCAGTGTTTCTTTCCGTTGTGCGTAGAGTCGCTGAGTCAGTACTGACTCGATGGCACCTAATAACAAAAACATTTTTTTAAAATAATGAATCATTTAAAGATTACATAGTTTATTGCATGTAATTCAGGAACAACAGATTGAAACAAATGGCTACAATGGTTTTTTGCTTAAATATCAGTTTACAGATCACACTGTTGTTTAATGACCAGAGCTGGATTGGTTGGTGTTAAGTACTGTCAAGTTGGTTCCCACTCATAGTGACCCCATAGAGGGTTTCCAAGGACTGACCAGTGGGTTTGAACTACCGACCTTGCAATTAGCAGTACAGTGTTTATCCTATAGCATCATGCCAGGATAGACAACAAGGTCTAAAAGTGCTCTGTGACCCTCAGGCTGAAAAGTTCAAAACTAGCATTTTTTAAATAGCTGAAGACAGTACAAGTACTTATCATCACTCATCTTTATTCTGTAACAGCAGATATAAAAGATATTAGACAGAATTGTGAAAAAGAAAACTCAGAAAATGTTTGGCCAGTTTTCTTCTGGTAGCACCATTGCTTCAGATTAGTTGAGTAAGGCAGGTAGCCTTTGATTCACAGCTCTTTGACTCTTAGCTGTATCTATAGAGTGACTTACCTCTTGCTTTTCCATTGGTTTCCAGGGGAGTAAACGTTCCAAATGCCACCAGTCAATTCTTGTAAAGCCATGGTTTGTTTGCTCCCATGAGGTTCATTATGCAGATTAAGAATACATTCATCAGAACCCCCAAATCCCTGCTGATTGGGGTCCCAGCCTATTACACAGACCTTGTAAAATTATAAATCAGGAATTGCATGTGCATAGCACAAAATGTAACTGGCAGGAAAAAAATGATTATATTCTGTCAAATGTAGGTTTGATCCATCTTCTTGGGAATCTGTGGCCAATGAAGAGATGTGGCAAGCAAGGTAACTTTCCTTGTGTTTTTTGTGTTTTCAGTCTCTTGCTTAATATTTGGTACTTTTTGTTCTGGAATAGGGATGAATGATATTAATGAAGATAACATTTATTGAGCAGCTATTTTGTTTGAGGCATTGTATTGGTCATTATAATCTCATTTCATCTTCATAACAACAGAGACCAGGCACTGTGCTAGGCATAGCTCCACATATGAATGTGACCCAGCCCCTACCCTCAACAAGCTAATAATCTAATGGGACAGGTAGACATCTGGGGTCTTAAAAGCTTGTGAGCGGTCATTTAAGATGTGACTATTCGTGTCTACTGATCTGGAGCAAAAGAGAAAGGAGACCAAAGACCTAAAGGAGAAATTTATCTATAGGACTAATTGCCTATGTGAACGTTGGTCTCATCTGTCCAGAGACCAGACCAGGATGGTACCTACCATACCAGCCATTCTGACCAGGGACACAATAGATGGTTCCAGATATGAGGGGGTTTCAAAAAGTTTGTTGGAAAATTCTATTTTCCACTAACTTTGTGAACGTCCCCTGGTAGAGTGGGAGAAAGTTGTAGAACAAAACTTTAACTCTTAAAGAATAAAAAGGCCAGACTTATTAGGACTACAGAGACTAAAGGAAACCCTGAGACTGTGAACCTGAGATGCCCTTTGAATTGAAACTGCTCCCATAGGTCATCTTTCAGCTTCATAACAGATTGGCTCGTAAGGTAAACAGTATCACCCATAAGTACTGTGATACTTTCACAAAAAACTCAATAACATGTATATACATTTTTTAAAGGACCCAGATAAATCAACTGGTTTTAGCCAATAGCTGCTAAAGTAATTGATATTAGGTGCTTTGGGGGTAAAAATATTGCTTACATGTTTTGCTCCATTATATAATGAAACTAGAAAAACATAGATAATCTATGCAGCGGTGATTTTGGAAGTCAGAAGACAGTATATTTTGAGTTATCAGTCAAGTTGTAGGGACAAATGCCTGCTTGGTAAGACGTATCAAAGCTATCCTGTGACTGAAAGTGGGAACGCCAGAGGGAAGATCACGTAAGGGAAGAAAGGCAGTCATTATTGGGACAGGTCTTGCTTTAATTGGTGTGCTGAATACAATCTGGATGCATTCATGTGGACAAAGACTCTAGCCACCTTTGAAGAGCTGGTCACACGTGCCCTGAGCAGTCATGATGGGGCCCCTCGGGAATGTACTGATGAACCCAGATAGTCTCCCTTTCACAGCTGCTCTTGCCTACCAACAGTGCACATCTGGAGGAAGAGCCAGTATAATCATGATGATGACTGCCAGGGTTTCCTAAGAGATCTGGTCATCAGTGTGAATGCAGTGTCTTGGCAGTGGGAGAAAGGAGGGTTGCTATTGTTTCAGAGTAAACTTCCATGAATATGAGACAATTAGAAATGATCTAACAAAGAGCTTTGTGTATTCCTTAGCAAAGAAAAAGTCAGGCAGATTTATCTTTAAATGTGAAATTGACAGCACGATTTTCACAAAGATTCTCACCTCCCACCCCCAGGATGAAAACTGCGTTCTTCATCTTTAACCTGGCAGAAACTGCTACTATGCCTTCAAATGTGAAAACTCAACTCTACACGCATGCATATAACGTATGTCTAAACTCATTATATGTCAAAGTTTTTGGCGGGCATGCGGTAGTGGTGGTTTTGGGTTAAGAAAAGGTGCATTACAGTAGAATGTTGGTTCTTTTGTCTCCAGCTTAATTGGGGCAGTATAAGGCAATATATGTAGGAAAACACCCAAGTGTCTTACAAATTCTCTCTCAATTAAATGATGGTAGTAGATCACAGAATGCACCCCTCCCCAAAGATATCCACGTCCTGATTCTTAGAACCTGTTATACATATTACCTGACATGGTGGAGGGGACTTTGCAAATGTGACGGAGTAAAGGCTCTTGTGTGAGCAGATTACTCGGCTGTGAAAGTGTGTCCAGGGCTATCACTAAGGTCTTTATAAAATGGAAGCAGGAGTGTGAGAGATGAAAACAGACATCAGAGAGAGAGAGAGATTTGAAGATACTATGCTGCTGGCCTTGAAGGTGGAGGAAGACGCCAAGGGCCCAGGAAAGCAGGAGCCTCTAGAAACCATACAAGGCAATGGAATGGATTCTACCCTAGAGCCTGTAGAAGGAACCCTGCCCTCTCACCACCTTCATGGTAGGACTTCAAATCGTGGGACAATCTGTTACTACAGTGATAAAAAGCTAATGCAATGACTTTGTAAAAACCAAGTCCAGACAGGCTGCTGCTTATGCAAAAGCCACGGCCCCTGCTGCACATTAGCTAATAGTGAAGGGCTGATTGAGATTTCATGAGGAAAATCAAGCGTCAAGGAGAGTAGGTGTTTCCTAACTAGGGTACCAGGAAGTAGAACAGATTTTAGAAAGACAGCCTTACGAGGTTCTTTCACAAATCTATTTTCTCTGAAGGGATATGGGTGCACAGTGGAGAGGCTCACTGTAACCGTAATTCAGCAGGCACCTGCTCTGCTATGATTTATAGCACTGGCCTCCAGCTATCTTCGGAGATAGTCTGGGGAGCCCACTGTGTAGGAAACAAGCCTCTGGTACGGCGTAATGAAAAGAGCCTAGGAATGGTATGTAGGAATAGCTGAGGCTCTTCTACTACCCTGGACTACTGTGAATCAATCAGGACGGTGTTTGATGTATGTCAAAAGAGCAAGGTAGCCAATCAGTATGACTTATTATCCTCCTTGATTTTGTGGTCATTGTTTCATTGTTCACTGAGCACCCACTCTGTGCCAAATGTCGTATTGGAGATGATCAAGCACTGTCCTGCTCTCCAAGAGATAGCAGGCTGTTCGAGGAGACAGATGATAAATTCCTGTTACAGCTGTGAGAGGTATATACTCCCGTTGTGGATGTAGATCTGTATGTAAGTCAAGAGCATGCTGGGAAAGAAGGTGGTGAGGAAGAGAGAGCAAAGACCACTTGACTGTCATCTTGAAACATCAGAAAGAGCTAACTAGACAGATGGTGGTGGAGCAAGTCCAGAAAGAGGGTACCCAAGGACCAAGAGGCCTCCCAGGTGACCTTGGGGGCTGGAAGGGATGAGATTGCAGAGACTGCCTGCAGCAGCTCTAGAGGTCTGGCAGTTCAGGCTCTCATTTTGCCCTGCCATTCATTGTCAATGTGAGCGAGTCTCTTCACCTTTCCTGACTTCAGTTTGGTCCCAGAAGAACTGTGAACTTTAACCTTTCCAATTTTCTCTGTCCGGACCACCTCACATTCTGCTCATCTCTAATGTCCTGTGCCTCTGTGACAGATAGGAAGTATTTTGTGGGGAGAGATCTGAGCCTTCTTCATATTTCTGGCTTCACGGCTAGTCGGTAAGCCACCACTGAAGCTCTTTCTTGGATTGCTTGTCTCTTCTCAGTGTACACAGACGATAAGTATCACCTTCAACTCTGTGCCTGGGTGTGTGACATGGGGTACATGATAAACAACGTCAAATTATTGATGGATCAACCCAAATCCTCCTCCAGTTTGTCAAAAAGATTCCTGTTAGTACCATGTACCTCAGTAACTTGTAAAGGACATTAGATTTGGTTGATGTCACACTTTAGGTGGGGGAGCAGGGAGTTACCAGCTCCTCAGGAAGAGATTTGATAAGTTGAAGGTGTCCCCAATAAACAGAACAAAGTCCACTAAGAGTCATGGCAAACCTCACACACAAGGAGAAGAAAACCCATTTCCACGTGATGGGAAATGACTTCTTAGGAGTCAGCACATGGAACTCTGTCTCCTCAGAAGTAGTGGAATGTGCATGAGTAGCACCACAGTCTAGAAGAAGGTGGTGTGGCTGCAACTGAGGCTGGTTGGCCAGGAGGGAGTCTCTCATTCTCCTGGGCTGGAGAACTTTGGGAAAACAAGGAAACTGAATGGGTCCCCCTGCACGCTCACTTTGTGTCAGGCAGCAGGCCAGGCACTTGGCACACGTTCTTCATGGAAGGGAGGCAGTGGTTACAGCACAACGGTCCGTGGGAGAAGCTGTACGTATTTTACCAAGAGAATGAAAAAGTGGAAGGATGACTTATTTATAGCTTTAATGGATAAACAAATGCTGCTGCTTGTTTTGTAAAATGAAGAGAAAAACCACCTGAAAAGGCAGCTTGAGAAACGAGGGCTGTAAACTAGCAAAAGGGCATAACACCCTCAGACTATGGAGTTTTTCACATGGAAGCTGTGTAAAAATAAGTGAACGAATGTGGGCTTTGGAGAAGGAGTCAGGAAAAGGAAACAGTTGGCTCCCTTTCAGCGGAATGATTTTATGAATACAGTTCTAATTCAAAATGCACTGGTCCCTGGCATGGCATTCTTGCTTGGTAAACCCAAGTTTCCTGGAAATCCGACTCCAGTGTATCAGTCTGCAAGATGGCTGTGAAATCCTCAGTAAGCTAGTGTGTTGTTGTGGTTAGGTGCCATCAACTCGGTACCGACTCACAGCAACCCTGTGCACAGCAGAATGAAACACTGCCCGGTCCTGGGCCAACTTCACTATTGTTGTCACGCTTGAGCCCATTGATGCTGCCACTTGGCCAATCCATCTCGCTAGGGGTCTTCCTCGTTTTCTCTGACCCGCCACCTTACTAAACATGATATCCTTCTCCAGCGACTGGTCCCTCCTGACAATATGTCCAAAGTATAAGAGACGAAGTTTGGCCATCCTGGCCTCCAAGGAGTACTTTGGCTATACTTCATCCAACATGGATCTTTTGGTTCTTTTGGCAGTCCGTTGCACTTTCAATATTCTCCTCCAACACCATAACTCAAGAACTAATGTAATATTACATTTTTCAGATTTGGATCTGCTTTTTTGTTCTTAAAATTTGATGATTTTCATTCCTCTGGAAAATTCAGTATCCAAAAATCTAACTTTGTCCAACGAACACAATCTTTTTAATTAACTATCTGTCCTAGGCTGGGTTTTCTACAGAAACAAAACCAGTGAAATAATATATATGGAGTCCTGGTGTGGTACTACAGTAATGCACTGGATAGCAAGGTCAGTCAGAACTACAAGGTTGGTGGTTTAAACCCACCAACAATTCCTTGGAAACCCTATACACAGTTGTGATGGATCGGAACTGACTCAAATGGCACTTAATGATATATGTATGATATATATATATAGAGAGAGAGAGGTTTATCATCAAGGAAATGGCTTACAATTGTAGAGTGTCATGTCCCTAGTGGAAGAGAAAGAGAGCCTTTCCTGCTTGTCCATTATATTGGAAGCATGCCACACCACAAAGGAAGCATCATTGCAATTGACTGCTGCGCATAGCCAGTCATCATAGCATTCATTAACTATCAACTGTCAAACAACTGAGAATCATGGCTCATAAACACAGACAGACCTATAAACTGCTTCTGCCAAAACTACTATCTGTGGTCTTACAGAATGCCTTACCCACCATCATAGTATCCCATACAGCATCACCTTGGATATCAAGGGACTCACTTTAAAGCAAATGAAAGCGTGGCAATGGGCCCATGGTCTTACCATGTTCTTCATCATCCTAGAGCAAGCAGCTGGCCTAACTGAATGAGAGATAGGCCTACCAATTAGAACCAGTGTCTAATATATGGTGCTGTTTCTCTGGTTGCCAGACTCCATAAGTCCAGTAAACAAGGGGGTGGAAATGGGAGTGGCACCACTCACTATTATTTCTAGTGAGCCACTTGAAAGATTTTTGCTTCTTGACCTTGCAGTCCTATGTTTTCGTTCCAAAGGAAGGAATACTCCCACCTGGAGACACAGCATTGATTCCATTGAACTGGAAGTTAAGAATGCCCCCTGGTCACTTTGCACGCTTCATGCCTCTGGATCAACAGGCAAAGAAGGGAGTTACTGTACTGGGTGGTGTGATTGATCCTGAAAATCAAAAAGAAGAATATGTGTGGCATCCAAGAGATTCCTTAGGATGCCTCTTAGTACTGCCATGTCCTGTGATTGAAGTCATTGTTGAACTACAGCAACACAACTCCAACATGAAGACTACCAGCCTAGACCCTTCAGGAATGAGTCATACAACCAGGCAAAGAACCACATCCAAATGAGGTGCTTGCTGAGAGCAAAGGGAATATGGAATGGGTCACTGAAGGGAGTTCTAAATACCAGCTATGACCACGTGACCAGTTATAGAAACGAGGGCTATAATTGTTGTGACTATATATAAGTTGACAAGGGGTGGACTGTGATAGTTAAAGGTTCTGTGTCCACTTGACTGAGCCAGGATTCACAGCGTTAACTATGAATTGCCAATCATTAAATGGGATGCTTCCTTGGGGGAAAAAGATATAAAGCCGTTTATTTCCTTGATATCAAACTTCTCTTATATCAAGAGCCTAAGATACCATCAAACTTACAGTTAGAGAATCCTATCAAGAATTTCAATCTCTTGCTTTTAAAGCAACTCTCTTAAAATTTTTATGCCCAGTCTACTCTACTTGATAAGATATTGGTTTGGTTTGTGTTGTGTGTAATGTAGAATGAAATGTGTGTAAATCATGTGGCCATCTTTTAAAGAAATCTAGAGTTTCAACCTTTCTGCCTGTTGAGTGAATTAGGTATTTGTTCTGGCAAAGGGATTTAGTGCTTTCTGGAGGAAGAGCATTTTATCCTGACATAGTATGTCTTAGGTCCCCTCGGCAACAGCTGGAAACCCCCAGAAGCACTCTTAGATGAAGCTGCTGAAATAATGACAGTAACAGCCTTGCACTTTCTGCATTGACCTAGCAATGACTAGATTTCTACTGCTTGCATTATGTGTGTGTTATTAATTTCTGTTTTTTTTGTTTTTGCAAAAAAAAAAAAAAGGAATAGCAAGGGCATGCCAACATTTTGTTGTTTTGCAGCTTTATAAGAAGCTTGTCTCCTCACAAAAGGAACACCCTGTGAATTGGCACAAGAACTACGCCATTTCCTGTGAGCGGCTGCTGCGTCTTGGGAAAAGGACTCCAGACCCTGAAGTCCTGCTTTCTGAGACCATCCGACATTTCCGTCTCTACACTCAGAAAGCACAGAATGACCCCCAGTTAGCTGACATTGCAGTTGCTCTGAAGCACCTCCGCAAAGAACTGCAAAGTCTGAGAAATAGGAAAAATGTCTGAGGCAGCAAACTGAAAAACCTGCTTGTCATTCAGATTCAAACATTTTTAAGTCCAAAAGTTTTTCCTCCAAGAAAAGAAACTGTATACAAATTGAGAATGAAGTCATCTCCCAGATAGATAGAGCAGGACTATCTAAAGAAGAGTTTAGTGACTGAGGTATGTGCTATTTCTAACAAAATTCCCTTCATCCCATGTTTACCAAATTAGCATTTCAGTGAGGATCACTGGAAAATCCTCCTAATTCTGCAATCTTACCCAAATGACAGTGTTTGACCAGACTCTAGAAGAGAGTGAGGTATTTTAATATACATAAAATAACCATGAATCTTTTAAGGGTCCTTCTGCTTAATGGAATCAGTTTTGAAGGTAAATTCTTACAACATATTAATATAAGATTAATATAACTTCTTATAATGTATTAATACTAGACCAGAGGCAATTTCTGTTCTTTGCAAGTGAGATCGTTTTATAAAAGAGAATTTTGCTATGCTTCCAATTAATTTTTTTTTTTTTTTTTAGTAGCTGGGGTAGCGACATAATCTCATACTTTCCAGCTAAACGCCAAAGGTAAGGTTTTATTGTCTTCATAGTTGTCTGCAGTCACCAAAAAAGGAAATCTAATTTGATGTTTACTGATCTCGGTTGCATAAACGGACTGGCAGGTCAGAAGGATTTTGTATTTTCTTAACAAATTTTTTACTTACGTTTTACTTCTGCTTGGACTCGTGCATCTGGGCCCAATAATTAGGAGGCTTCTACTGCCAAAATGCGAGGAAAAAAAAAAAAAAAAGGCGGGGAGTGGGGGATAGGGAAGTGGTTCAATAAATCCATTTCTGTTACAAGCAAGCATCTTTTATACATATTACTAAAGAGAACATAGTAAGAAATGCAAATAATAGTTCTTTATTTTATTATGACAGTTAATTAATAGCAACCTGTTTTAATGAATAAAGTCACTCAGAGTCCAGTTAATTAATAGCAACCTGTTTTAATGAATAAAGTCACTCAGAGTCCTTCAGCACTTCCTAAGTAGAGGCCAGAATCTGTAGGGATTCTTTTCCCCCCAATTGTATAGCTCCTAGACTCCGAGCACTATATAGGCCCCTGTATAGAAATGCTCACTAATGAAGAGGGAGGGCTAGAAGCTTGTCTGCATTCAAAGATCACTGGTGAGTCATTCAGCAAGAAAAGGCCCCTTACCAGGAATAGTCACAGTTCCGTGGCATTGTACTAGCAAAAGGGCCTGATCAAAGGTCTCCTGTGGAGCTTGCATGGTTCTCTTTCATACTACGACCATAATTAAAACCACTAATTCTCTTTTAAAATGCTGCAGGATGCCATGTAGGCATCTGTCTGGAGTGCCCTTTGTGATGTCATAAGCTGTTAAGGACCAGTGCCGAGGGCTTTTGAGTGAAATGCCAGTCATGAAGGTGCTTCAAGACAAGGGTGCCTCTAAAAGCTTGACAGGGCCTTGACTGCACAATTCGAGCTGAATTTGCCCCTTGTCAGCTGCCAGTAAATAAATCTCAAAGGGGGAAAAGCTGAAGTTTCATTACCTGATCCATGGGGCTTTGTTGGTTTTGGCATCACACAGGGGAAGCTCTTGCCCCTCCATTCTCCGGGTTTGAAGATGTCCATTGGAGCCTGCAGAGCCTGGACAGGGTTCAGAGCGGAACCTTTTGAAGAGTGTCAATAGTTGTAACAGTTCAGCTGTTAGGAAGACAAATAAATGGGGGAGCTCATTAATCCGCTTTTGGCTCTCGGTGCCTTTTGCCCTTTTATCACAGCCTTATTAGGCTCCTACTCATCTTGAACCAGAAAAAAAATGAATTGAAGTTGTTGAGTACTAATTGGCAAAGACTTTTAATCACGGGCCAAGAACTTTCACTGACTTGAAAGTAACTTCTCCACAGGGAAGAACCGAAAACCTGATTTACCTTAAAACAAAACCCTGTTGAAGTTCAGTGTGGTGTAAAAATTTAAGGAAGCGTTGATAAAGTGTCTAAGTTTATCCATTTGAGAGAAATTTGTGTTAGATCATGATTTGTCACTTTTCTAAAAGAAAAGGAAAATAAAATATTCAAACTAAAACTTTTCTCCCAAAATACCGTGTCTTTACTGGCTTAGAAAAGAGTTTGCATGCAATAATGCGAGATGGGCATGTTTGTTTCTGAATGTAGGTGGGCATTCATCTGACTGTCTAAATGTACACGTGGTGTTTGAGGAGCCTTATTAAACGTACTATTTCATACGTATACTCTTTAAGGAAGACTTCTCTTGGACAGTGCCTGCGTTTTGTGTCTCTACTATGGAGCAACAGATGAAGGGACTTCAAAAACCCATTATCTTTTCATTCTGTTTGTCCACAGACTTTTTGAAGCCCTCATATATGTCTATCTAATAGGGTATACATGATTCTGTATTTGTCCAACAGTGATTTGGGCCACGCTTTGGAAAAACAAAGATATGATAGCTAGCTGAACGTCGAAAGGCTTACACTCATTTCCGGTTCTAAAACCCATTGTTTTTAGGTGCTGCCAAGTTGGTTCCGTTAGTAAATGGAAAAATAGTAACCTACACTGTTGGGGATGTTGGGTTTCATTCTCAGATCAACTACTATGAAGCATTCTGTCCTTTCTGTTGTGTGAGCTTAAGTAACTCTTTTTAACTCTTTTTCTTTTCCTTTCTCTTGCTGTCTTTGGCTAGTTCACAAACACCATAAAATCATTCAGAAGGGGTTTCCTTTAGTCTGACCCCCGATATTGAAGAGAATCTCAAGGAGGTGACTTCTCATGCAGAACTTGGCCTGCATTCTCTTACTACTGTCCCAGGAGTGGGATGAGTTGGCGGGGTGACAGGAACCCCACAAGGCCAACTTCTGCCTGGACTTTGGCCTGAAGAGCAAGTGGGAGCCAGCAAAACTGTCTGTCTTCCCACATGGCTCTGGTACCCTGCTGCCCTGGCACCAAGACTGGCGTACACCAAGGGCGAGTGGAGAAAGGGTTTGGAAATTTCATGTTCTCTAGCCACTGAGCATGTGTGACTCGCTGGGTTCTGGGTTCTTAGGATTGACTTTCCTTTCATAATAATAATAAAAAAAGATGCTTATATCCGATTCCTCAAAGTGTTGCCAAAGTAGAAGACAATTACTAGTGAGCTCTTCTGAAATCTTTAAATAGAATTGTGAAATGCTACTTACGTGCAGCTGCTGCTGTTTTCTGAGGATGATGATGTTAAGTGCCATCGAGTCGGTTCCGACTCACAATGCCCCTATGTAGGGTCTCCGAGGAGCGGCAGGTGAGTTAGAACCGTCAGCCTTGTGGTCCAGCGCATTATACTGCACAGCCATACCAGAACTCCTTTCTGATGACAGAAGTATGCTATCTCACCCTGAGTTCAAAAATGAAAAAAAACGTTTTTTGTTTTTTTCTTTTGACACCACCGGTTAAAAAAAATTGGATCCTGTTGCAAAAAATCCTTTGACTCTGACTTTGGCTTTATTTCACATATGCGCGAAAGGAGGGTAATACTTGCTCCAAGTCTTATGGCTACATAAAGAAAAATATCCCAACCCAGTAGAAGGTTCACTTTGCTTTGTTCATCTTCAATTTTTTGGTGTTTGGATACAAAGTCATTCTAAAGCCTCTACTTACAAACAAATAATGTTCCCAGGGACTCTGGAAACATCTAAAGGCCAAGATCTTGGCCCAACATTACAGTGCAAACATGGAGCTCACGCTTTTGAAGCGATCATACTCAATGAAGACATCACTGTCAGTAGACAGTACCCTCTGAAGGTCTGTTTGATTTGGATCTACACGGATGGTATAAAATTAGAGTGTGCTTACTTGGATATAGGAAAGTAAACTAACAGGAATATATTTTGCGTAACAATTGTTTGTCTGAAAAAAAAAAAATCCTGACTGCTTTTCAGTAAAGTAATATATATTTTATGGAAATTATATGTACTGGCAATATTAGATTTATACTCATGGTATAAAAAAAATCAGGGGGTAAGGGGACAGGGATTCCAAAACTATACTTTGAATTTGGCAAATGCTGACCTGTATGTGAAGTTATTTGTTTCATTTTTTTTTTTGTAGTTCTACAGTTTTATTGTTAAGGGCTCACTTTCAGCATGACAGGTATTTTGATATTTTTAGAAAAGTTAGCTAATGAGACCCCCAACGTACAGATAAAGAACACAAAGGTAGATAATGGGACCATATTCCTATCCCAGTGATCCAACTTCAGAGTGACCAAGTAGTCTCAAGTCTCTCTGTACATAGTAGCCATTAGAGGAGGAAGATGTTGTTAAATTGAGGTCTAATAAAACAGTCCTGTGCATTAATGCACTGGGCTGCAAAGTCGCTTTGAACCTCAAGGTTGGCGGTTCAAGCTCACCAGCCGCTCCTAGGAAACAGGGTTGCTATGGGTTGGAAGTGACTCCATAGCACTTAACAACAATACTAAACATAACCTTCATTGTTTAGAATTCGTTATAAATCTGGTATGGCTAGTTCTGAGGGAAAGTACCATGGATGGAAGTGGAGTACAGAAACTAACAGTGTCCTGGTATGGCGCTGTGGGTTAGTTAATGTGCTGGACTGAAAAGTCGGCTTGAACTGCAGAGGGTCTCGATAGATCGGAACTGACTTGGTGGCGATTAACAAAAACCATTTGAAAATATATAAAACAATCATCTTCTGTTGAAAGTGTCACTTGGAAAAGGAGTTACTTTGTAATCTTTCAAAAGAAGACATATTGAGATTTCTTTCATCTAAATTGACTGTTCCCTAGAGGGTTGAGCCACTGGGAATATCATTCAGACCTTTGGTTGTTGCTTAGAAGCAACATGTGTATAATTAAAGCCCAACATGGGAAATGAGACCCAGTTTTCTTATCCTCAGATTTGGGTTTTGTGGAACCTCACCAAGCTCTAAACTGGGATAAAGAAGTTCTGATCCTAAATGAATTAATTGCCCAGTCATCACCCCAGA